TATATATATATATACATGAGGAGGGATCATTTACTCAATGAGTAACTTTACCTAGACTTACTCCGTTCAATAACTCAAGTTCTATATCAAATTTTAACAATTCAACTGTTGAATTTAAAGTTCTTAATGCATAGGTCAAATATGCAAATTGTTTAAAAATTTAAAAACTATTTGATACTTTGTTTCATTATCTCAAATCAATATATAAAATGATTTTATGATTATTCGTCAATTTGAATTGATGAAATGAAGTATCAAATAATTTTAAATTTTTTTAAAAATTTGCATATTTGATCTATGCATTGAGAACTTTAAATTGAACGGTTGGATCATTGAAATTTTAAAATATAAACTATTGAACAGAGTAAGTTTAAGTAGATTTACTCTTGGAGTAAACGGATCCCTCCTATATATATAATGCTTTTAAATCTTTTTTTTGCTACAAAAGTACTTAGTCAAGAGATAATTTCAATTTTAGTTTAATTATTTAATATTAGATATTTTTTATATTTTTTTTGTTGAAATATCACAAGGAGAAGATAATTTAGAAAGTTACAAAGTCTTAACCAGAATTATTACTTTAGGCTATGAAAATTTTCTCTGAGCAAACCAAGGCAGAGAGCAACACTAGAAGCTGACATTTAAGAGACCAAATTTAAATCAAAAATATATTTAAAAGACTAAATAGTAATATGTAGGTAGTAAAACAATATTTTCTTTTGAATTTACAAAATCTAAAAAGATAAATTTTGATTTTGAGAGATCAAAATAATAAATTTTTTTATATTTTAGGGACTAAAAAATATAAGTTTTAGTTTTTTTTTTAAAAATAATATATATTTAAAATTTGAAGAAATAAAAATATAATTAAAAAATATATATTTACACTTTTAAAAAAATATTTCTATAAAATAATTTTCAATTAATAATAACATAATAAATTTTGAAATATATATATTTTAATATCAATTAATATTTATTTAAAAATAAAAAATATAACATATAAATACTATATTAATGACATTAATACTTACATTAATACTTTAGTCGAAGTGTATTTGGAAAGATAGATTGTCAAATGTCAATAATAAAAGCAAGTAATGTTTCAATTCTAGTGATTTAGTATTAGATTTGATTGATGGTAGTTTTGGCGAGAAAGAACTTGATGTCAAGATAACACGTGGAAGGAAATCATTTTGCTTTGTTGGAGAAATAGATTGATTCTATTGTCACGCCAAGAGGGGTCAAATCAACCTCTCTAACTTCAATTGTTCGAAGTATATTTCCTTATTTCAATATTATATATATATATCATAAAAATAATTTATAAATGAATTTAAATTTATATAACAAAATATAAAAAAAATTAAATTTTTTAAAATTTATAAACTTAATTTATACATTTAAAAAAATTAATTTAACAATTATATTATTAAAATTTGATATAAAGCACAATTATTTAGTAAAATAAATTTATTAAAAAATTTTCATTGATTCTTCTAATTTCTCTATATCTATATTTATTATAAAGAACATACATGATGAATAACTATTTTGATCTCAACTATTAGTAAATAATTATATTCCTTATTTATTAATAAAAAAAATTAAATAACTACTAATATTTTTACGTAGCTATCAACAATCATTCATTTAATTTATTTATAAATTTTAAAATTTAAGAGGCACAAAATGTCTCTTTTTTTTCGTCTACCGATATATATAAGACATAATTGAAAATAAAGAAAAAGGGAGAAAATAAGGCAGCCTAATAGTTTTCCCTACTATTTCTTTTTGTAATACTAATAATAGTTTTACTTTAAAATATGTTAAATTATTTAAAAAAATGACTTAAAATTTTTTTAAAGATCAATTTTAAATAATTTTTTTAACTCATATAATTATATTAATAAATTATAAAATTTATTATAAAAATTGAAATATTTATAATCTCTTAAAATAATTGAGGAAGGAGGGTTTCATCTTATTTCTTATTATGTGGACACTTGTTATATATTTAACTTTAATGTATTAATTTTTGCTCTTTCTTTTTTCTTTAAATCCATTTTGTGTATTTTGCGAGACAAAAGAAATTGCATGGTGATCATTTTTTGTTTACTTTAAGATAATTACCAAGAATGTATATAATTCAAAATTCCCCAAAAATGCTTCTGATAAAAAGATAAAATCACGTTTTACTGTTTGGGTGGGAATTTCTCTCACACTCAAAATATTTGATGGTTCCTAAAATAATAAGTCTTTTGTTTTCAGCTTTTCTTTTTATAAAAATATATAGTAGAGCTATTCGCATTTAAAAAAATTGATCTCAATATATGCTGTCACCCGTTCTTTTAAATACAAATTTGTGGTAGAAACTTGAAACTGGCTCTCATTTTTATATTAATGAACAAAAAAGGACAGAAACTTTATAGTGACATACACAATCTGTAATACCATGACCCGTTTTCTTCTCTCATTAATTTATTTTCCCAAGTTCAGTCTAAACCAGACAGGTATCATGTCATGAAGTGAATGTGATCTATAATCACGTACAATTAAGGTGTAGAGACTAGAGACAGTTTACAAAAATTCAAAAATCAAAAGAGACTATTTCCTTATATATATTTATTAAGACAAAAAATCATACTATATATCACAAATATATGTTTAACATATATTTTTCGTTTCTCTTTATTTCAAATTTCTTAATTTCTTATTATATCATGTTACACATTATATTTATATCTTTTCTCTCCAAATGTCAAATAACATAGAATATCCACACATCTTTACCCTTTATAAAGTTTTAATCAGAATTGTTCCCATGAGAACTATTCATTTTAATCATACAAAATTATACACAAACAATTAAGACAATTAAATTTCACTAAATCTAATCATTTATGTACGATTATATAATTAAGATCTATTACTTTTACAAGAAAACAAAACATGCACACATTAAAAAGGTTTTAAAGCTTAGCCAGCTACGTACCAGTCACAGTCACAGGTGTTGTGAGTCCGTTGGTCACTTACAAAAGATATAAAGAAGGCCGTTAATGCGTGTTTTTCAGACATTAATTAAGAAATTATTTTTCTATATATTAAACATTTTTAATTGCATCTGATTACAATTTTTATTTGTTAATTGTGGAAGCTACTGGTGATCTGATCCAACGAGGAAAGATGTGTTGGTACTTGGTGGTGCATTAATAGTATTCTAGTACTTTGGGTGTTGCTTTTTGGTGTATAAAAGGAATGCCATTCATCTCACGTATTGCCTCAACTAAACTCAAGGTGTGTTCAAAAGGAACCACGTAGCATTTCTCTTGACACACACACCATGAGTGCCGTAAAGTTTATTGGCAAATTACGCCTACTTTTTAGTAATGCCAAACCTTACCTCTTAATGATTGGCTTGCAATTTGGCATGGCCGGCAATTACATCTTCGGCAAGGACGTTCTCAACCATGGCATGAGTCGTTTTGTGTTCATTGTCTACCGAAATTCTATGGCCACAATTGCCCTTGCCCCTTTCGCATTCTTTCTCGAAAGGTACATGCATATATATATTAACTCCTCACTTTTACATTCCCTTAATATAATTCTATCTATCAATCAATCTACAACTTTTCTTATTTGTTGCATGTTTTTTCAGGAAAAGTAGGCCTAAGATGACACTTCCAGTCTTTCTACAGATACTATTCCTGGGATTCCTCGAGTAACCATCTAAAATTAACCTTACATTTCACACGCAAATTTAATTTAATTTGCAGGATAATAATAATAATAATAATAACAACAACAATAACCTTGTTAATTAATTAATGAACAGGCCAGTTTTTAATCAAAGCTTCACTTACTTGGGGATGAAGTATACTTCGGCTTCATTCACATCTACTATTGTGAATGCCGTGCCCTCTATCACCTTTCTCATTGCAGTCATCGTCCGGTAAATAATTAATTAATTAGTTTCCATGACTTTAATTATAATTAAAAAGAAATATACACACATGGTGTATACTGAATAATTGATAACATGGAATTGACGTTAATTAGGTTGGAGCGTCTAAAATTAAGGGAGATTCGGAGTCAGGCGAAAGTGATTGGAACATTAGTAACCTTTGGAGGTGCTTTGTTAATGGCAATTTACAAAGGCCCTGCTTTCAACCTTTTTCATTCTGGAAGCACAACCCCACATGAAAATGGAAGCCCCTCCTCTCACAGCCACCAAACCGCTGGGGCTATTTATATACTAATGGGGTGTGTGGCTTTGTCCTCTTTCTACATTTTGCAGGTAATAAATTCTCACCAGACAATGCATATCACACTTTTTAATATTCCTCTTTATAAGCACTTCCTTTTGTTACATGAAACTATACATGTGTGTCCTGTTCCCAAAATATTGGACTCACATAAGTTTTAATTACTAAATTTCTAGCACATTATATATTTAGTCAAATTTTATATTTTTTATTATTGATCCACAATTATTTGAATTTTTAATCAAAAACAATATAAAACATGAGGCTGAGTTGAAATGACATGCAGTACAATCCAAATTCACTAAAGTTATAGTTAAATAAACGAGTTAAGGAGATGATGAAAATTAAAGTTATCTGTTGTAACTTTTGCATCATAATGGTGAATTCATTGTTACATTCCCATATTAGATTAGTTGAATAGATTTGTGGTGTGCAATGAATGCAAGATTGAATTGATTTGTTGTGTTGGGGACATGCAGTCAATAACGGTAAAAGGATACCCAGCGGAACTATCATTGGCGACGTTGATATGCTTGGCGGGAGCAGCGGAATCAACTGCAGTGGCACTTGTGGCTGAGCGTCACTCCCGTGCTTGGGCCGTTGGTTGGGATTATAGGCTCTATGCTCCTTTTTACACGGTTTGTTCAATTCAACCACACTCTTCAATTTCCTCTCTAGTCTCTACTCTATTAAGTCTTAATAATATCTATCGCACCATGCACTTTAGGAAAAAGTTTTTTTTTTATTTTATTTTTTTATCTATATTAGTTTACCAAGATTTTCATACATACTGTCTCAAGTTTTTACTCATGGGTCAACTTGAGGTTTAAATTTAAGTAATGTACAGTATACTCGGATCTTCAACCAAAAATTGAACACCACGAAATTAATTTGTTTGATGTGACTTCAATAAGTTTTGAATTATGAATTATGGTTATTTTGGCAATAAAAAAACATGAAGTGATTTTTAGGTGGCTTTCTCTCGTGGCCTGATTCAGTGGTTGACAAGTTTCATTTAATAAAGACAAGGTTAAGTCTACTAAATTTTGGGGGTCCACGAAAGTGTTTTCATTGAACACAAGGTACAGACCTCTAATTAATTTGTGTGGGTGTACCATATTGTCTCATAAACATAGGGACGAGTTTAATCTTCCCGTGACTCCCATGAGAAAAAGTCGACAATATAAATACGAAAGGAAAAAATGTTTGCATTGACAAATGTCGGGAGTGGCGTTAGTTAGAAAATTTTCAATAATTGAAATTCTTTAACATCAGTTCTTAACTTTTTCAGGGAGTAGTTAGTTCAGGACTTGCGTACTATGTTCAAGGGCTAGTGATGAAAATAAGAGGGCCCGTATTTGCAACAGCCTTTAATCCTCTCTGCATGATCGTTGTTGCTGCTTTGGGCTCCTTTGTATTAGGAGAACAACTCCATCTTGGAAGGTATATATGTTTTAAAATAGAAACTGAAATTATATAACATAATTTATCAACGGCTACGAAGTTGACACCCGAATGTTTTTGTTTTCCTAGTGTAATACGAATGTAGCAAATAATGAAGGACACAGTTATTGGTTGATATGATGTGACATGTTAACCAAAAAAAGATATGATATGACACCAATAAACTAATACAAAGCCATGGACATGTTTGCAATTGTAACTTTGTTGAAATTTCAGAGGGTGGCACGTACCTTCTGATTGTGAGGCTTCCCTCTATTGACAAGTAGTATGTTTTGTATGGATGCATGGCAGTATCATTGGAGGCGTTGTCATCGCATTGGGTCTTTACTCGGTTGTGTGGGGCAAAGCCAAGGACTATTCCGACACCAAATTATCATCAATAGATGCAGGAGACACAAAATCACTGCCAATTACTGCAACTGATGATTCCAAAATTGATATTATTTCTGAGAATTCGGAAAAACATAAATTAGAGGGGGGAAGAAACAGAGTTGCATTTGTGAAGGTTTAAATGTTTAAATTGACTTCGATCCACAATGCTCGGAGAAAGTGAAAGCCGCACGTGTAGACTACCAGGATTAATGCTTTGGCTCCAGTCAAATCTCAAATGTAGGCCAGGCCATATATCAAGCAATAGTATTCCTCTCTCTCTCTCACTCTCTCTCTCTCTATATATATATATGTTGTAGTAATTAATTTTGAGCAAGCTTCTAGGCACGTTCTGTTTGTTAGAGTATTAATGTACTTTAGTACTTCTGTAACCTATGTACGTAGATATTGCAGTGAGGATTTATGAATGTATTTGTTGCCTAAATTTGTGTCACAAGTGAGTGTCTCAGTTATATATGCACTATTGCACTCTGCAGTATCATGCTTTATGTTTAGAACAATAGCAGAAAACATGACGAACCACGTTGAATATTGTGTTTAACAAACACATGTTAAAAGGGGGTGTAACAAAGAAATCAAATTAAAGTAATTAGAGGCACTGAAAACAAAAATGGAACAATAATTGTTACAACTTTAAATGTTAGACTGACAGGTAAGACTGATTGAACATCCATGCTTAATTATCTTTCTTCTTTTGCGTATTGAGAACAATGAGAAATACAACTTGTCATAATGTTGATATGGCCATATTTTGGTTTGACAAAAATAATAAGCAATATTATTTAATTAGTTTAATTTGACGCACACGTATGTAATTTTTTTTTCTTTTAGGTTATGACTCGATCATGTACTGCAACAAAATTAAAAGAGCGTTACTTTTGAAATAATTGTTGTGAAAGTCAACATAAATAATAAACGCTGTAGAATTGGATGATTCGGTGTAAAAAAATTTACTCTATCCATCAAAATTATACTCTTAACTAAAAAAATTAAAAATCAATAGAGCTGAGGTTGTGTCAAATTGTAGATAATCATAATAACTTAAAACTTTATTTTAAATAGTCAATGAAATTTAGATCAACAACCAAATAAATTTAAAACACTTGTACAAATATATTTTATTTTTGGGCTCCATATTCAATAGAGCTGCAACTGGCAAAATGCCAACGACAAAGGAACAGATAGGCCCAAAAGGTTTCGGCTGTACACTAAAGACATATGAGTTATATATATATATATATATATATATATATATATATATAAGTAT